GGTTGTAGGTGGTAGGTACTTCTGGACGAGTTGCAAGTGGTGGTCGATTCAAGAGCTTTATGAAGTGGTCAGCCCATCGTTTCGTTGTTTCTCTTCTTTGGTAATTATATTTCCTTCATCTTTTATTGGTTTCATCTGCTTTGATCTCTTCCCAGATAGTAACCTGGTTATTTGATGTAATATTGTCAGGTCTCTCTGTCTCTCCTACCTGCAGCCTGTTCTGCTTCACTTGTCGGTGTGTTGTAGAAGTGTGTTTTGTCTTTGTGCGCACTCTTCTTCACTTCTTTTTCCAGTGTAGTGTTTTATAGGTTGTTTTCAGTTCCTCTTTTCGTTGTTCATCCTTGCACTGTTTCATCTTCTGCTTCACCACTTTCCTCTCCCTTCTCTATCAGTTTCGATGTGTCTGTGGAGATCCATTCCTCGTCTTGCTTCTTCTTTCCTCCTAACACGGTTATCCGCGTTTCTTTCCACATCTCTTTCAAAGAGTCCCAGTGTTCTTCCACACAGGTTTCCTCGGCAATGTTGGTAGATGTCTTCCATTTTTCCCTGATGGCTGGTTGACGTTAAGATTTCCTTTGTAATTTCGACCTTCATTTTCTGTTCTGGTTGTTGAACTTGAACTTGAATTGTGGTCTATCACCAACTTCTGTGAAGACTTTCAACTTGGTTTTAAAGGTAGGTTCCTTGCACTAGATAGTGAGTTGTGTGAACCTACATCTGCTCCCCTCCTTCATCTAATCTTTTGTCCAGTAGGCTGCGTCTCCACTTTCTTCACACTAAAAATGAAGTCGATCTGATTTCTGTGTGTCTATCCTTTGAAATTCATGTTGCTTTGTGGATATTCTTGAGTTTGAACACACTACCAAGCCTCCAATCACCAAATCGTTGAGTGCGCAGAAGTCTGCAAACAATCCTCCATTCTCGTTCATTTCACCGAGTGCCTCTCGACCCAAGATTTGTTCTCCACCTGTATTGTCTGCTCCCAGTTTGGCATTCATGTCGCCCCACCCATTAGAATTTTGACGTCGCCAACTGGGGTGGGGTCTTGTCCAGTACTGACTGCAGTTGTCTGTGGAATTCCTCCTTCTTTTCTTCATCTGCATTATTTGTAGGTGCGTAACGTGGCATTGTATGATTGTGACTTCCCTTCCTTTTGAGTTGAACCTTGCTGTCATGATCCTTATGGTGGGGAAGATTGGTTCCCACTGTATGAGAGCCTTCGATGCTCTTGGGACACCATGATAGCCACTCGAAAACTCATTGTGCTTATAGTTGTCGTCTGGGTGACAATATCGGAGTAGATTATTGACTCTCCGGTTGATAGTTTAGAAGTCCACTTAGATTCGATCTGCAGATTCCTAGAATTTCTATGCTATACCTTCTCATCTCTTTTGCAATCTGGGCAGCCTTGCCAGCCAGCCATCTTGAAACATTGTTCGGACATTCCATGTCCCCATTCTTACTATTGCTTTCATCGAGAGAAGATATGTCGGCTAATTGGCTTCCCGAAGGCTTTCACCAACCGGTGTCATTTCGTCTCTCCGATTCCAGCGAGGATTCGGTTTTCTGTGATGGGCTACAACTCGTATGTCAAACCTTCTCTGTTTATCTGGGTTTAGGACCGGCAAGTATACGAGTCATCTAGTAAACTAGGCGAGGCAATAAAAGATACCTATTGTATTGGACCTAATGGTATTACCTGGTTGCCCAGATTTAAATAAACAGAGCTTATTTCCGACCCATAAACTGGCGGTTGGAAGTCGATTACGTTTACCAATAGGCTACGCCCCCACACAGTTTAACGAGTTCCATTTATGGCCCTATCCTTCTTTAGTGTCGATACTGCGGGTAAGTCATCTCCTCTGCATCGTAAACTGGTAGAAACAGATTTTGGGAACCATGAAGATCATGTTTCATCTTTTACAACCTTTGCTTGTTTGTTATTGAGGTCTTCTAGACGTCCATTCTTGGCAAAGATATCTTGCACTGTCTTTATTTATCATTCTTTGGCACTATTAAAAGAGGTTTCCTCAACTCCATCAACATTCTAATCCTATTTCTTTGATAATGGATCGGAACAGATGGAGTTATTTTTTCGTCAATGAGCCTTTCTTTAAACAGAAGCCGAACAATCCGAAATAGTCATCTAAGAATTCGTTAACATCACTTTTTTCATGCTTTTTTGTGAAAATGAGACTTAGTTGATATGGATCAAAGTTTTCTAGAGCATTTCTGTGTGAAATCCGCTTTTGCTTACTGTAAAAATGTCTATGTTTCAATGATATTGCTCTGTCTTTTAACTCATCTTTAGAATGACCACATTTGTTCAAATAGACTGCACATCATTCATACGGATGATATCGTAAAAATAATCCATCCGTTGTTTCGTTTCTCCCGAACTATTATTACAGTACTTAGTAGAGAACTTAACTTTTGAGTATTTTCCCTTAAAACTATGGTATCTTGACTTCCTGTTACTTTATTCCCATAACCACTAGAGTTATCAAAGTGGCTGGAGATTTCGGTTTCATTAAGTAAATTTGTGAGTAGTATATATGAATTAAATGAGGCTTATTGCATTCTTGAAGCCTCCTTCCTTTCAGAATACTTCATCCGTCTTCTGTTCCAACCACGTCATCCATTTATTGCTTTCTTCAACGCGTTAGCAGGTTCATGTCTAACAACATTACAGCTAGTTTGCCATTAGTACAACCATATATGGTTCTTTCACTTTTCTCACAACTAGAATGCTATGCTTATATACTGAAAAAGGATTAGAAGATATCATTTACAGAAAATTAGTGTATAACATTATGTGCAGTGTAGTTAGAGATCAGTTTTAGTCTACATAATATATACTAAAATATTTGCTAAGGTTATATTACTAGTAACTCAGAATTTTTATCCGAAATGTCTCGTTTCGTATTCCAAAATCAATTTATTCAAGTCAATTCTAGCCAAAAATTCCTCTGTAGACCTTGGAATGTGGTAGAAGTTGATCTTTTGAACCCAAACATGTGAAATTTAAACGAAGAGGCAACATGATTACCTTTTTAGTTACTACTGTAACTAACTGCAAAAGAAATGGTCTTCACTCCGTCACCTTTCACACAAATACATCATTTAAACGACAAGGTTTTCTCTATGAGTCTATTGAATCTGTCGTCAACAACGGTTGAAATAGTTCCACGCGGTCATTTTTCTCGTGGGCACCTCAACTCTTGTCATATACATGTCAGCGTGTTAACCACACCTGAATGTATCGGATCCATTGATGAATCTACAGGAAAAGCAGATGTTATGGTAGAATTTCGAAAGAATAACGTACTACATTGTGGCTTATTTTTAAATGCGAATGAAATGTGTGACATAGCTTTGGACAAAACATTGTCTGTCTAACTGGCATATAGCGACTAAACACTTGTCACTATGTATTTTTTTCATGATGGTTGGTGTAGAATCGCGTTATTGTATCACATATAACAACAGTCAGTATGGAGTTACTGAACTTAGTATGATACTCAGTAAAAAGGCTGTCAGAATACTATTAAACCAACTCTGAAATGAAGTTTTCAGACAGTTCTCGGACGTCACAAGGTTTCATATTTCCACCATCTAAAGCTATGATCAAGACATCACTCATAAATGGATCACTCGTCAAACTTAAAATGAGTCTAACTAAAAGTTTAAAACATAGATCAGGTTTAATACCTTACGGTTGCTTGCTTGTAAACACTTTGAGCCACTTTGCTAAGTCAAGTTGTTGATACCGATACATAAGTGTAAGTCATGCATTTTGGTGCGGATTTTCAAAGTGAGACTCCTGATCACATCACACCTTTTGTTAGTCTAAACTTTAATATACAGCTCTTCAAGTTGACGAATGTGATAAGAATAGGAGAAAGTATGTTCAGAAATACAATTTTCCTTACAGAAGCAGCCAAGTATTTGTTGATAGCATTAGTGACGAGTAAACAGTTTGGTTTTGAAGTTTCAGCCGTTAAACCAAAAGCACTTTAGAAGTTTGTCAACAAAAAGTGTGAATGTGATGTGCTCAGGTATACTTAGTCTGAATACCATACTGGGGATAAATGGATCGTTAATCAAGTTTTGAATCATTTTAATGTCATAATAATAACAACTAAGGGTTATAATGGTGCAAGGTCTGTTCAGCATTTCATATTCACTGTCGAATAACGTTTATTCGAAAAGCTGTTGGTTAAAAAAATGTTCCGAAAGACTTGGGTTCAGAAGCACTCTGACGCTTCATTACTCAGTGTTAATAGGTAGGGTTTTATTGAGTTCACCTCACATCTTAAACAGACAAGACCGACACCGAGCCAGACATCACTGCATAATGGTCGGAGTTACCACACCTCATGTCACCACATCAAGAGAAAGCAATAAGATAAAAGATAAATTAATATTGAAGAAAGCAGTCAAAAGTGGTAGAAAGTCATCAAAAGAGAGTAAAGAGGAATAAGAATACTGAAATTAGTATGGTGACTGAAACGAGGATAACGCGTTAATACAACTGCTGCCCCACTGGTTCTGAGTCATGCTAACCAATGATTTCTGCTGTCGTGTGGACCGCGATTAGAAAGTCTACACTTCCTTACACGACTAAGACTAACAGTTATAGATTTCATGCGAATCAAACCGGAATCTGCTCAGTAACTTTGAGTATTTTTGTGCGATAGGCAATAAGCCACACCTTACCTGACTGTCCAAACCTCGGTAGGTAAAGCGGTGCTCGAACCTGTGACCCACTGGTTGAAGGCCGACTGTTTAAACCAATGAGCCACAACTCCACAAGATTTCGTTCACTGATGCCACACCTCATATCTACTGCTCAACGAAAAAAGGTATACTATATGCCCTGACTTTTTTTCTACTTTAGCTGTATACTTCAATACCGTATACTGAAATTAATCACAAGTTCCATCAGCTAATTCGGCTATTCATTATCAGCTTACTTTTTTTCATTCCCACTTTTAAAGGTCCACTTCATCGCACCCATCTCATTAATGCTATGCATCAGTTCACCACGGGTGTTCAAGCTGCTCGACTGGATGATTCTAATTTTGAACATGACACTCAGGCGTCTACAGGCTCAACAACCGGAAGTTGGCTTGTTGTTTTGTAAGTTCCTCAGAGTTTATTTATTTGATGAGATCTCGTGTGCGACTCTTCAAAGTGATACTAGAGATATAACTTTGGGGAGAGCAATTAAGTGTCATAACTCATATGTTTATCGCTGTTCATTGATTGGAACAGTTTAAAGGATACATTTGTATCTTATTTAGAAGTTGTCATACCGGTACTTTGAACTGTTAATCCAAGTTCCACTTTGACATTCCCATGAGTTGTGAATCACACTTCACTCACTTCAACCTTAATGACTTAGCAGTCACTTTGGTATACTGTCACACTTAGGTTCTTACCAATTTCTTCATCAGAAAAAATCAACGAGTTGGTGAAGCCAATTACAAGCACAAGTCTGTAAGGTGTGTCAGTAAGCTTTGATAGAATCCCAGCGTTTTTAGAAAACCAGAGCAAGATTTTTCTGTTGACCGAATATCATATGGAAACGGTTTCAATAATTTTGATAAACGACATATTACCGAATGAGTATGAAGTCTACGATTGGTCTGGACAGAATATCTATTATTATTATTATCATCATCATCATTATTTATCCCTTGGGTTCCCAGTGGAACATACGTCTTCAGTAGCACGTCTCCAGTGAACTCTGTTCTCTGAAATCTTTTGAACCTGGCTCCACGACAGCCCAGATGCTCTCATTTCTTCCTCACACGATCTCCTCCATGTCACCCTCGGACGTCCAACTCATCGTTTCCCATCTGGGTTCCACTCAAAGGATTGGCGCGTGATGTCTACAGTCAGCCTTCTCAGTGTATGCCCAATCCATCTACACTTCCTTCTGCATACTTGTTTGGTGATAGGTTATTGGTTGGTTCGTTTCCAGAGTTCTTTGCTGCTTATTCTGATCATTCTGCCCATCTGAGCTTCAGTATCGAGTGAGTGTTGGCAGTTGTTGATAAATGTCTGTAGTTTGTTGGAAATCCCTTTCGTAACGCACCAAGTTTCTGAACCATATAGAAGCACTGACTTGACGTTGGCGTTGAAAATCCGGATGTTGTTCACGCTTTATACTGAGTGCAGAATATCTCCACACTGATTTCAAGTTAATGAACGCCTGTCTTGCTGTGTTTCCGATCCTGGCTTTGACGTCCTTGTCTGTGCCTCATGCAGTTGAAACGGTGCTGCCTAGATGGGTGGAAGAGGTTGCTTCCTTTAAGTTTCTCCCGTTGATGGTGATTGGAGCTTGTTTTTGTTGTTGGTGGCGTTGGTTGGGTATCATCATCACCTCTGTCTTCTCTACGTTCACTTGAAGTCCCGTCTTCGCTGCCTCGCCTCTTCTGTCAACTTCTCAGTTTTCGCATGTAGATCTTCAAGTTTGTGTGACACTGGACATAAGTCATCGGCGAAATCCAAATCTTCTAGGCTCTTTTCATCGGTCCGGCGTATCCCCCTCTTCTCGCTCCTCACAGTTTGTTGCATGATCCAGTCCACTACAATCAGGAATATCATGGGTGATAGTAGACAGCCTTGTCTTACTCCTTCTTGTCTTCACTTCAAAGGCATCACTGAGCTTTCCATTGTGAATTACTTGGCGTGTAGCATAATCAAATAGCATATAGCCACTGTTGAATGAGTTTGATAAAGGTTTGTGGTATTCCGTAGTGTTGAAGCAGTTGCCAAATTACTTCTCGGTCGACGCTGTCGAGGGCCTTTTCAAAGTCGATGAAGTTGAGGTAGAGTTGAGTTGATTGCCATTCTATGCTCTTTTCTATGATTATGCGTAGGGTTGCAATTTGCTCTGCACATGATTTGTACTTCCTGAATCCAGTCTGTTCTGGTCGTAGTTTTGAATCTAGTGAATCCTTTAGTCTCCCCAGGATAATGCAGCCTAATATTTTGCTTGGGGTGGACAGGTGTGGAGCATGATTCCGCGCCAGTCCCTTCAAAGACATAGGTCGCTCTTCTTCGGGAGTTTGATAAGGTAACCCTTCTTCCAGTCGCCATGTACCTTCCCTTCCTTCCTGACCTTCTGCAATAGTGGTGTGAGCATGTTCGCTACTGTCTCTGCATCTGTTCTCAGTGCTTCTGGTAGGATTCCATCTGGTCCTGCTGCTTTCCCGCATTTCAGTAGCTTTATGGCGTCCAGGACTTCGACTTTTGTCGGAGGGCTTGTGTTCACTTGTAGTTCTGTGGCTGCAGGTGGTATTTATGGACGAAGTGCAGGTGGTGGTCGATTCAAGAGCTTTATGAAGTGGTCAGCCCATCGTTTCGTTGTTTCTCTTCTTTGGTAATTATATTTCCTTCATCTTTTATTGGTTTCATCTGCTTTGATCTCTTCCCAGATAGTAACCTGGTTATTTGATGTAATATTGTCAGGTCTCTCTGTCTCTCCTACCTGCAGCCTGTTCTGCTTCACTTGTCGGTGTGTTGTAGAAGTGTGTTTTGTCTTTGTGCGCACTCTTCTTCACTTCTTTTTCCAGTGTAGTGTTTTATAGGTTGTTTTCAGTTCCTCTTTTCGTTGTTCATCCTTGCACTGTTTCATCTTCTGCTTCACCACTTTCCTCTCCCTTCTCTATCAGTTTCGATGTGTCTGTGGAGATCCATTCCTCGTCTTGCTTCTTCTTTCCTCCTAACACGGTTATCCGCGTTTCTTTCCACATCTCTTTCAAAGAGTCCCAGTGTTCTTCCACACAGGTTTCCTCGGCAATGTTGGTAGATGTCTTCCATTTTTCCCTGATGGCTGGTTGACGTTAAGATTTCCTTTGTAATTTCGACCTTCATTTTCTGTTCTGGTTGTTGAACTTGAACTTGAATTGTGGTCTATCACCAACTTCTGTGAAGACTTTCAACTTGGTTTTAAAGGTAGGTTCCTTGCACTAGATAGTGAGTTGTGTGAACCTACATCTGCTCCCCTCCTTCATCTAATCTTTTGTCCAGTAGGCTGCGTCTCCACTTTCTTCACACTAAAAATGAAGTCGATCTGATTTCTGTGTGTCTATCCTTTGAAATTCATGTTGCTTTGTGGATATTCTTGAGTTTGAACACACTACCAAGCCTCCAATCACCAAATCGTTGAGTGCGCAGAAGTCTGCAAACAATCCTCCATTCTCGTTCATTTCACCGAGTGCCTCTCGACCCAAGATTTGTTCTCCACCTGTATTGTCTGCTCCCAGTTTGGCATTCATGTCGCCCCACCCATTAGAATTTTGACGTCGCCAACTGGGGTGGGGTCTTGTCCAGTACTGACTGCAGTTGTCTGTGGAATTCCTCCTTCTTTTCTTCATCTGCATTATTTGTAGGTGCGTAACGTGGCATTGTATGATTGTGACTTCCCTTCCTTTTGAGTTGAACCTTGCTGTCATGATCCTTATGGTGGGGAAGATTGGTTCCCACTGTATGAGAGCCTTCGATGCTCTTGGGACACCATGATAGCCACTCGAAAACTCATTGTGCTTATAGTTGTCGTCTGGGTGACAATATCGGAGTAGATTATTGACTCTCCGGTTGATAGTTTAGAAAGTCCACTTAGATTCGATCTGCAGATTCCTAGAATTTCTATGCTATACCTTCTCATCTCTTTTGCAATCTGGGCAGCCTTGCCAGCCAGCCATCTTGAAACATTGTTCGGACATTCCATGTCCCCATTCTTACTATTGCTTTCATCGAGAGAAGATATGTCGGCTAATTGGCTTCCCGAAGGCTTTCACCAACCGGTGTCATTTCGTCTCTCCGATTCCAGCGAGGAATAAGTTTAATTTCATTTTGTATATTTACTTTGTGCGTTGAAGTTTGTTTAGCGGTTAGATTGGTTTTCCGAGGTAGGGTTGCTAGCCCTATGCCCAACCTTCCCCCTTTATCGGGCTTATTACCGGCTAGTAACTAGTGAGCTAGTTAACCGGGTGAGGTTGAAGGGAATATCTACTTTATGCATTTTTGGTCTTACGGTCGATTTGGTTTCTGCGGCTCACGAACACCATGTTACGGTTCTTAGTTTTAGTTTTAATTGCCTGAATAAAATGTATGTGGCAGCTTTAATGTTATTCAATCTACTGGAGATCTTTTTTGTTCATACTGGTTCATATCGACCGGAAATAATGTGCTCCAATACCTTTTTATCATAATCTCTATTTAGAATAACTGTGACACTACCTTCACCATCTCTAGTTATCACAATTGATTTATACAATATTAAAGCTTTCAAGCATAGCGTTCCTGTTCTGAATGATATTTAACATACCAGGTTTCTGATTTTTGATGATGCTTCCGATTCTTCATTGTACTATATCTCCTTACCCCTTCGGTACCAGTGACGTAACTGGTTCTATAATGCGAGTAAAACTTGTGCACTGTGGTAGAATGTAATCCCGTTTTAATTGATTTTTAAGATTTATCACATAGTGTAACAGTATTGTTTACTAGATTACGTTTAATAGCATCATTATGAGTTTTCGTCACAATGTACTCTAACACTTAAGAGACAGAGGCAAAACAGAATTTACTGAAAGCAGGTAAAGAAGCTTTGAAGAAGCAAAAACCCAAAATTCACAAACCACCTTATCCAATTAGACCCATAGAAGACTTTGAAAACACCCATACTTATGACTTATCTAAGTATTTAGCGATTGTACTAGGTCCAGTTACAAACCGTTCTAAATCGAGACTTACTAACTCTTATAATTTGAAGCATAGATTAGATGAAAATGAAAAAAATGGTTAGTTTTGATGTAGTTAGTTTGTATACTAACATGCCGATTGAGACGGCTCTGGAAGCAGTTGGAAACGAGCTCAATAATGACCATGAGCTTGCACTGCGAACTAAGGTGCTAGTAAATGACATCATGCTACGAGTACAGCTTTGTCTAACCTTCAGGTTTCAGAATAAAATATTCAAACAAACATAAAGAATTGCTATGGGATCATCAATAATCCCTATTATGGTTTACAAATTTATGGATAGTTGGGAACAGATGGCTGTAGGAACATTTAGTCCGGCTATAAAAATATGATTTCGATATGTAGACGACAAGTTTGCAGTGTTGAAATCGGAGTACATACATAGTTTCTTGATAAATATAAATTCAGTAGTCAACTCAGTCCAATTCACCTATGAATTAAAAAATAGTAAAGGGAAATTACCGATGTTGGACTACGGAATAAAACGGAAACAAAATGGGAGTTTAGATACTAGTGTTTACAAAAAATCTTCACATTCAGACCATTACTTAGACTCTAAATTATCTCACTCTATGTCAGTTAAACTTGACTTTGTAACGCGTCTAAGTAACAGGACCAAAACACTTATTGGTATAACAGAAGTTTAAGACAAAGAATCAGAAACATTAAGAACACCTTACTCACCAAAAATTACCCTCCTAAATTAGTTGATAAATTCCTTAGTGATCGTAAGAAAAATATGACATTAGTAACACAGGTGTTAATAGTAGTAGTGATAATGTTAATAATAATAGTGGCAATACTATAAGGAGAGAATTTAAGACCTCGACAGCACCACCATACAAAGAAGGTAACTCAGAAACGCTATGTATGATTCTCAATAAGGCTGGGATTAGAGGCATTTAGACCTAAAAACTGACTTCGAAATAACCTTTGTAGGTTAGAAGATCCTATTGATCCAGTTAGGCAGAATAATTCAACTTACCAAATCCCTTGCAATGATTAACGTATGGAATACATAGGCCGAAGCAGTTGACCAGGGTCAATTAGGCTATCCGAGCACAAAAACCTAGCCAGGCCAAAATTGGTAGGTCCTGGTAAGGTAAGGAATTTAGGAAAAGGGTCGGCGGTGGTTGAGCATGCAGTTGCACACAACCACACAATAGGATAGGACAGAGTGAAAACCCTTAAAACTGACATAGCAGGGTAGAGGAAGTGATTGATAACCGAATCTTTGTTTATCGAATCAACACGTAATACACGCAGTAACAGGAATGACTCAGCACCTGTTCTGGATTTATGGAAAATCTTACTATCCATGTCACAAAGTGGGCGAGGAAATTAGGACTATGTAAAGAATATTTCAAAGTTGCGTAGAGATATCTTAATATGACTAAGGACAATTAATTATGTCCGAAACATAATCCAGTAAACAACACTGTTCCACTGTGTGATAAATCTAATAAATCAACTAAAATGGATAGCCAACGCTATCGTTTTAAAAGGCTTTTTCGTTGGATTGAAATCCAACCCTTTCTTTATTAATATCATTTCGCTGTCTATTTGGAAAGTTATATGTCATCTTTGAATGTGTTAGGTGCTTTTTCTGTCGACTGAATCCGATTTGATTGGATTCCTTTTTAAACACGCCAGGATTATATTAAAACTCATTTGTATAGTGATGACATCAAACCTGGCGGTCAACTTCCTCTCAGGACAGTCTTAACAGTTATGAATTATGTTTAAAATGTTAGCTAATAAATAGTTCCTTATCTGTTTACCTTACTGACTTTATCTGATTTCAGTGATCTTGCTGGATACTTGTATCTTCTTATTTTTCTCGTGAATTATTTTTTCTTAGCGACGAAAGTACTTCAGAGACTTTGCAGATATATGATGGATTAGCGCTAACGTAAGTTTGAATCAGTTCAGTAATTTACCTTTTTTAGGAAGGTGTTTTGTTTCTATTGTTTCTTCAGTAACATGATGTATTAACTTATGAATTGGATTGTTTCAATATTCATTGCTCATTATCATTCATTTCAACAATTTTCTCTCGTCATATAGTTATTGAATACTGGTTATCAGGGCTAAAGTTCACAAGAACTTTTCACAAATCTCTTTCAGTTGTCTGTAAGTGGTATTCAGACCGACATTTTGAGAAGTTTTGTGTCAGTTTACCTTCGGATGGAGTATAAGTAAATTATATTCATTGGCACTTCTAATTTCCCTCACTGCTTGACCTCTGTTTCTGGATGCTTCGATACTGCCTCAGTACTCATTATATTGTAGCGTGATTGGTGGCTGGCAGTCGAACCCAGGACTTTTGTTTCTTTCTATTTGGGACTCACCAGCTGGATACATCTGCATCTCCCGGGTTTCGAACCCAGTACCAGTCCCTTCAAACGCCATAGCCTTACCCACTAGGCCACTGAGTATGCTCATCTTCATGGAATATATTGTGAAATGTTATCTGAGACAACTAACTTCTTTAGTGTTGTCCAAAGATGACCATTAGAATCACTTCTCTTCAGGTCTAATAAACATGTACTGATTTAAATAGGTGTATTTACTTTCAAGTCCCTATCAAGAAGGTGAAAAATGCTAATGATGAACAGATCAAGACTCAGCATCAATCCATAAAGTCAATATATCTTTATTCCATTCAGGCGATATTGAATATCAGCATTAGTGCTCAGCTGATAGTTGCTTATGCTCTGAACGGCTAGACGGCGCAGTGAAAACTAAAAGGAATAGAGAAACTCGCCGTTATCTCTATATTTTCTGCTTATCCACTCACTACAATGCGAATGAAGTGAAGGATGAGTTCTGCCGAGAATTGTCTAACCTTCTGAAAGCCTAACGTTCAGATCTGGTTGTTGCAGGTGATTTTATTATCAAGATTATGGAGCCTTAATAATGTTTAAAATGAATCATATATCAGCTTTTTATCTATTGACATCCATAGTTTCTCATTGATTACCATACTGAATCAAGCAATCCTTGTGACTCAGCAACCTAGGGAATAGATAGTTCTATGGCATTGGAAGCAGTGGGTCCAGAGTTCAAGTCCAGGTGGAAACTACAACAGTCACTGGGACAAAGGTATATCAAGTAGTAGGAATTGCGCTTCTTGGATTCCTGCGCTAAGCGCTAACAACATCAAAATATATCAGCTTCACTGAGAAGACGTAATCAATATTCATATGGTAGTAAGGTCAAAGAGTATTGAAGTGACTCACTCTATTTATAAAAGAGTGTTTCAGATAGATGCATAGCAATTCGAACTAAAAGTCATTGAAAAAGAAAATTAAGATCAATTTGATAACACTTTTTCACAGTGTGATTGCAGAAATTTCACAGGGCTTGGTTGGAAGCGAAGTTATTTCAAATGTATCAGTTATGTGCAGATAGTTTAGTTGTAAAGCCTTAGAGTATGCAAGTAAAACAGAGCTAAAAGTAGGCTTGTTTTTACTTTCGGCGGAACAATACCCGTTATGGGGACGTCAACACCGAAACCTAACTGCTTAAACTTTGGCATAACTGGACATAACTTAAGACAAACAACACAACATAGAATCTATTGATAAAAATTCTATGGTTCAAACTTCCATACTTCATTGAAGCACTAGAAGAAAGCACCAAGAGCAATGGGTTTCTAGTTTAAACATCACTACTGTTTAAGAATTGCAGACATACATCAACAGCTACCTACGCTCGATACTTGAGATGAAATGGCCAAAATAATAAGAATAAGCAACAAGCAACTCTGACTGGCAACGAACCAACCAAGAACCAATCGCCCAACAAATATGCAGAAGAAAGTCAAGATGGACTGAATTGGACATACAATAAGAAGACCGTTTGAGGACATCACGCGCCAGGCCATACTAGGTCCTCGAGTGGAACCCAAAGGGGAAACGAGGAGTTGGGTGTCCGAGGATGACATGGAGGAGATCGTGTGAGGAAGAAGTGACAGCTTGTGGGCAGTCTTGGAGGCAGGTTAATAAGACTGCAGAGAACAGAGTGAAATGGAGATGTGCAACTGAAGCCCTATGTTCAACTAGGAACCCAAGAGACAAATAAAAACAGTTTGGGAAACTGGGTAGTATCACAAACTGTGGCAAAATATTATTTATCTCACAGCCTAGTGCTTAAGTACGTACTTGATTGAGCTGGATCATTTATATTAGATCAACTACATGGAGGTTTGGAGGCAATTACCATTCAAGTATAGTCAGTATGAGTCAGTAGATATTATCCACCACCTAAGTCTATTGCTTATTTTGCCAGATGTCAAACTAGTATTCCTCTACACAAGTCGCTCATGTGACAAAAGTTATCTAGATAACTTTTACAACCTGACCAGGTCTAGCATCCTCTACAAACGCTCTTTTGCCACTCTTCTCTGTTTGTTTAAGCCCTGATAGAGTTAACAATCACTGTGTCAAGAGCACAAGTAAAACAACCCGGCAATTTTCTGCCAACAATTAGTTCCATAGACTAAGTGACTTTGACTGCAAATGTGGAAAACAATGGAATTTCACAAAATGTGGCTGTTTATTGAGTTGATGAGTCTATTTGTTGCATACGGAGCATAGTTGTTATAAGTCACAACGTAAATGTCGTCACTAACCACAACCTTTGAGTTGAAATAGATGAAGTTCTGCATTTGGAATTTCTACTTACTTGACTCTGCATCATTTGTTTTATGATTCAAGAATATTCAGGATGTCCATGTGTTGTTCACAGCTCATGTCGTATATGTGTTATCCATGAAACTTAACATCTAGATAACATATATGCTGACCTGGATGAAAATTTCAGCAAATTACATGTTATGCATCTTCTCACTTCATATGCATTGATTGGTCACTAGAGAGTAACCACTTTCATGTTGTGTAGTCCCGAGTGCTAACCGAATTCTAACGTCTGTGACTGGAGCACCGAGTGATGGAGGGTTTCTAATCTCATTCAAAATATCATCTCCCTCATGGTTACAGATACGCCTTGCTAATGAGTGCCAACAAGCATGAAGTCTAGGTCGAGCATAGGTTTTTGCCTATTGTCTCAAACCAACTGGCATTTTTTATAATTCTTTAGTAGTAAGAAATATACCCAAGATAATAACTCAATATTCACAAGTCATGGCATGACGCCTTGTGAGTTAGCCTTTGGTTCCATGTCCTCAGTGAATTTACTGAACTTATCTCTCGTAATTGATTCAAGTGGAACAAAAACTTGCCTTTATAGTACTTATATATTCCACTCTCTAATGCCTTCCCCTACGCTAAACTGTCGTTTCAGTATTTTGGATAAAAGAAGGTGTACACTGAAGGAATGATGCTGAACCTTTATGACCTTTGTTTTAATAATCGGTGTACATCTGGCTTTTAAGAGAACAGTCAACTTATTTTTGACGTTCTCTCATTATTTTATAGTATGTGCTACCCTTTTTGTAACTTTTCTGAATGTCTTCATTTTTTTGACGTTTCCTTCAATGTTTCAGCCTGCGTGCAAAATTTGTAAATTTAGGAGTCCTTGATCCGAAACATTCGACAAATACAGCTAAACGTTTCAATATTAACATTCCATCTGATTTCACTGATGATAGTTCTAGCATTTCACTGATTCTGTAAGTATTGAAAGGTTTTATTCTTGTTATGTGTTTATCCATACACGTTCAAATGGATGCAGCGTTCTACTGAATATTTGACTTGATAGTCCATGTACTACTTAAATCGAATTCAGTACAGAAAGTTTATTAACAAAATTTTCCAGGGATGAGTGAGCAGGAATAAAGCTCTTACTTGGTGGTTTTTTGCCTGTTTGTGAGTTTATTTTTGAAATTGAGCACTCGATAGCTGATTGCTTTCCTCACGTAGGTTTTTGTGGGATTTATAAGTGTTCTGCTTTTTTAACCAGTACCTCTTCGTCTACTTTCATTCCATAGCTAGGCTTAAAAAAGCAACACACCAGTGTTTTCTTTTCATTTGTATTTTGTTCCCTATGTTTTACTTTTGTTTTTGACTATCGTTATTCCCCTCAATTCTTAGTTAGGCTACTTTGATTCATATTCTACAAATAACTTCTTGTCTATCATTTCAAAACAAACGCTCGACAGCACGTTTTTGTCATTTTATTAATCTATTGTCTACTAATTACTTTGATTTTATAAAATGCTAATACTCAGCCTAATTGTAAGCCAAATAATACCTAGAATTTGTGGTCTACCAAAACTCCATAAAACGGATCGCCTCTCCATATCATGCAACCGCAGAATGGTTAGTAATACTCTTGAAGCTAGTCTGTCCATAAAGAAGTTGTATAGCACAGTCTCAAAAGTACTTTTGAATTTATTGTTAAGATTGAGGATCTGACAGTAGATAATAAGCTAACTATATTGTGTGATGTTTTATCTCTTTTTACTAACGTTCCTTTAGTGGAGATAGTACACTTTATTTACAACGAACTCACAAAGCACGGCATTGGATCAAGTATTCCAGTCTCCACTTTAAGAAAGCTACTTCTCAGGTTTACGATGCATGCACAGTGTCTTTTCAGCAATGAACTCCATAGGTAGTCTGGTGGTGTAGCTATGAAGTCACTCCTTGAACTACTTTTAGGAGACTTTTTTCTGGCACGAAACTATTAGCGGGTTAGAATTATATTGTCTTACATAGATTATACCTTTATAGTTCTTAGAAGTGAGACTGGTGAGAATGCTGTTCCTAGTAAGTTCAATAGTGCTCATCCGGCAATCAAGTTCACAATAGATGAGAAGCAAAAGGACAGTTTCCTATTTTTGGTGCTCTGCTGGTATAAAGGTTAGAAGCAACTCTGAAACGAAGTGTTTGTAGAAAGCCGACATCGACAAGTCAATGAAGGCACTTCTTTAGTGCCATAGCCCTCCAATACAAAAGGAATCTGATGAAATCCCTAACATACCGAGCCACAGCTATTTTCTCAGGTGATGCTATAGAGGAAAAGTTCGCCACGTCTCTGACCTGCTTAGTAGGAATCGCTATCCGGCGAAGTTTGTTACTAAGCGTGTGAACGTTACGAAGGTTAAGACAAGAATGCCAACGATTTCCTAAGAAGCAAATCTTCTTAAAGCTGCAATTCACGAGTGGCATTGTTAGTGAGATCATCACGCGAGGTAAGAAGCATCCCCAGCCACTAAATTATGTCCTATCTTCTACAACCTTGCGATTCTAGGTCCAATAAATCAAGACAAACTGCCTGGTTCAACCATTTCCACATGCATTTATCAATTCAACTGCTCCTGTCGAGCTAGTTACATTAAGTGTACAGTGAGGAAGGTCTATCGTCGAATTTCTGAGCTCGACCCATCATGGTTGAGCAAGGGACAAATTAGAACGATAAAGACATCCACAGTTGCGCACCTAGTTGGTACTGAATATCAAGTGGATACTAAAAAAGTATTCAAAGTAGGAGATGGTTTATTAATGCCTTGTCTTGGTTTGACTACCATTACAGCTTCTTTTTCATATATTATATCTCCATTCCACTCAACGTTACTTTATGGTTCGCGTAAACAACTTAAACATGTGTTTCAGTCTCACAGACCAGTTTATGTAAACCCATATTCTTTCCTGTATTCCATCTTTACCTCAAATCGAACAACAATCTTTAAAATTCTCAATTCAATCACCCCACTATATTTCAGCTTTCGTTAGGAGGAGGCAAGAGCTACCATTCACTTCCTACCACTCATGGATGACTTTCTAAGCACCATAGTCAAACAACGTTCACTTTATATGCGTCTGGTTAATCACCTAATGGTACGCAATAAACTACCAAAGTAGAAGTTTAATGATACCGATTGTCTCTAAACTAGATGGAATTCAAGTATTCATTGTTGCTCATATTTCCATAGTGGAATACATTTCAGCGAAAGACACTACTATTGAAAAAAATGAGTAGTTAGGTACCACCCAGGCTAATCTTTAGTATTTCACCAGCCAGATCAGAGTGATCAAATCAATTGACGACTATTTCGCTCGTTTACAGCTGAGCTCATAACCAGTGTCCCTTAGAGAATTCACCTCATAGAGGTGAACCGTTCAGATCAACTGAATCTAGTTAGCTAACTTTCATGGACCGGTATAACTCTAGAATAGAGTAGAATGATTAGTGAACTACGCAGTCCACTTTGACACTTCTCACAGCTGGGTAGTTTTCCAACTACCCAATTGTCGTGTCAACAGGGTTTCCGTTAGAAATCACTCAACTGAGATCACAAGGTGTGATCTCAGACACAAAAAGTGTCATGAACTACCGAAAGATACTACTGTTGAACAACTTGGTGAAATACTACAAATCAGTTTGATTGGTTCCTGGCTACTCAGTTTGTTCAGTAGTAGTATCTTTCAGTAGTTCATGACACTTCTTGTCAGAGATCACACTTTATGATCTCGGCTGAGTGATTTTCAACGGAAACCCTTCTGACACTACAGTTGAGCAGTTGAAAAAATTACTCAGCTATATGAGAAGTGTCAACGTGGACTGGGCCGTTTGTAAATCATTTGCATATTGAAATACACTTTGTTCGATTTTTTACACTATACAGACGATATATGTTTATAATCATAAGTCGTGCTTGTATTTACTGTAGACTGTGAGACCAATTCAGGTAGTAACCTTTTCGTTTTAATAACAGTCCACGGTTACATTCTTAACTGTACTGAAAAAAAATTTCTCTCACGAAAATACACATGTTTTTCTGGTGTTAGTTTGTGCCTACTATTTTTTCGAAAACTTTGTTTTTCAAAGTGAAACCGATCAAAAAGTGTGACGTAAAAATACGTGTACATGCTGTAAAAGTGGTATACTTGTTGTTCCCTTTTTCTGCTTTTGATTTTAAGTTGGTATTCATCATGGACTGACGTCAGTTAGAGGAACGTTGAAAACCTGTGAGCACTGGATAGCTGTTTCATCCTGCTATGAGACTCCGTCAGGGTTTGAATCCAAGACCTTAAGATCCCGTGGCCAGTATGTTACCATTCAGTCACTGGGTCGGAATCCATTGATTCATACTGCCAACTTTTGTCAGTTCATGACATAGCGCGAACATCATCCAATGTCATCGTTGAGTATTTGTCCGCACAGCCACCAGGTTTGACCCACCGGTCGGTGACGAGGTCATGAGTGCCAACTGCTGAGGAGTCCGATACTGGGACGAAACAGTTCTCCAGTGCTCCCAGGTTTCCAGTGTCCCTCTGACTGTGGTTGGCCCATGATGAATACCAACTTGAAACCACTAAATCCCCCAAAAATCCCAAATTAAATTTTTGATTTTGCCTGGTTCCGCTGCCACCTGCCTGTAGGAGTCCAACTAATGGTCTTGCTCGAAACTGACTCTGATCTAGGCTGACAAATTTCCTTCACTCGCTGTATATATGCATAATTCAATTGTTCACAACTTATCACATTTTGAATCAAGTTCCTATTCACTTTGTTTTAATTGGTTAATTAGATAATTCATTGACCACTTCCTTCTATTGGACATTGAACCAGTAGTATACGCGTGCGCACATACACACATACAAAAATTTATGTTTACTCAATAAATATTACCGAGTTGATCAACCATAAACCATTTTTAAAGTAATCAGTTGACAATACGATACTTTTTAGTTAGTTAGTGCGCTGGGTGTAATAAATATTAATAAAAGTGTTTTCCGTGTGGTCACTCTGATGATATCCTGCTATATTTCCTCCACTTCTAGCTTGAATGATTTCAGCCGTTGTTTATTATAAGTTGCTATTCATCACAAGGTGACATGAGTTGGAGAACCAGTAAGGACCTTGGGAGCACTGAACGGCTGTTGCATCCTGGTATAGGACTCCTCAACAGTGCGCTGCAACAACCCCGCCAAGGTTCGAACCCGAGATCTTCGGGTACCGTGGCTAACTCGTTGTCATTGAGTCCCTCGATCGGAGTCCAGTGGTCCGCATTTTCTGGCCGACTGGCTCGATCCTAACGTGCTGGTCGCAAAACCTGAAGGTCCTCGGTCATTGGATAGCACTGCTGAGGCGTCCCACAACTGAACGAAACAGCTGTATAATGCCCAGGTGTTTAGTGTTTCTTCAACTGATGTCTGTCCGTGATCAATATTGGCTTGAAGTCGGTAAAATTCCACCAAATTTGCTGTATATTTCCACAATCTTCCTGTGCTTAATATGTGATGCTTTCTTTTGTTCTTCCATAATTTTATTATAAAGTTTTGTAATATCCTTGCCTTGACGGTTTAGTCGATGCCATTGGCTTTAGTCTTGGTTTTGGTTTCCTATGAGGGAAATGCTCTGTTTGAGTCGATCCTATAGCTAATACTTTAACACCATCTGACGCAAAGAAAACACGAAGTTAGACACCTCATCATCATCAATATCAACATAGGACCAGGCATTACCGCGTAACGGTCCGAGTTGCCACAGCTCATGTCACTACATCAAGTAAAAAGGTGGTGAGGCGCAAGATTAAGATCAGAAAACTCAGTCAAAAGAAATACAAAGTACGAAAAGAAAGAAAGAAAGGATGACAAAATGGTGAGATTCGGTTTAGCGTTAAGATGAGGATAATGTGCGTATACATCTGTGCCACTAACATAG